CTACGTATAGTGTAAAGATATAGTCTACTTGCAGGGTAGAAAGCCTGTCAACTAGGTAGGAGAGCAAAGCACTAAGTCAGATTGTAACAGAGACTGTTTCTTAGAGGGCCCCTTTACCCCGTTTACCGCTGGGCCTTATATACAGTAAGCCCCTCTTTCGAAGGAGGGGTAGACATGCAGGGAAGCGGATGACTATCCTCCGTAGGAGCAGCGGGGAAAGGGTGATGGTAGATCACCGAACCAATATATTCATGGTTGGTGATCCTTGGAGGCCTGAAGCCTAAGGCCTCAACATAGGAATAGCCTCATAGTGCAAAATATCATAACATATAGGATATAGGTGGCTAGGACTGTTTATGCACGTGGCTTGAAAGAGGCGCCAGGGGTGATTAAGGCAAAGCGGATTCGATTTCGGGAAATCAGTTCAGAGTAGCATAAACTCCTTAGGCTTAATATGCCGAGGGGCCAAAAACGGCAATATAGCCAGCTAGGGGAAAGTAAAAAGGCTAGCTTAGTCCAGCAACGCCGCTACGAGTATATAACGATTGACTTTAGCGATAATAAACGCTATTGATAGTTAACCTACATTGCATATTCAAACGTTTAGACTAGTCAACCCGAAGCCGGCGGCAGTTGTAGTGCTAGGGCAAGTTTGATAGGGGTAGGCATATACATAAGTATTAATAGCCTATCCGGTGTGAAGGGCCGAAGCGGGACTTAAATCTACATTAACTTATACTGTTCTAGCTCAATTACAGTATACAGTGCTGCAGGAAGAATCACCAAGTATAAATATTCTATCTCTATGTATACTGCCTTTACATAAATTGTTATAGATACAGGTCTAGGATTATGAAGTCTCTTCACGTTTTTCGTGTTGATCCAGGAAGTCTAAAGAAGATCGACAGTAGTGACCGTTTGGGGATGCTCGCATCTAAGCGCCTTTTCTCGTACATCTAACACCCGTCGATGCATCGCTTCCACCTCTTTCTACTTCCCTTGCCCGAAGAGCACTGTGCCAAGGTTATTAACACTGGTAAGCGTGTCAGGATGCTCACATCGAAGGACCTCTTCACATCCTTCCAGTGCCTGTCGATACATCGCTTCCGCCTCTTCATATTTCCCTTGCCTGAAGAGTACTAAGCCAATGTTATTGACACTGGTGAGCGTATCAGGATACTCGCGTCCAAGCATCTTCTCTCGTGCGTCCAACGCCCATCGCTGCATCACTTCCGCCTCTTCATATATTCCTCGAAGCAGTAAATACCATCCGCAGTTGAAGCAAATCCTTGCCATACGCAGTCGATCATTTCATGTTGATCAGATATCGACTTCATCACCTCTTTCGCCTGCGGAAGCAGCCTTTAACATTCAATCCAGCTCCCGTACTGTCCATCGGGAAACATCTCTGCCATTATGGCTCGCGACTTTTCTTGCCACCGTGCCAGCTCGAGGTGGATCTCTAGCCATATCCGGACCGATAACTGTTTTAGTCGGTGCATATCAAATGACGCTGTTTCAATTTCAACCCGAACAAGAGAATAGCTGATCAATGGTGCCACTGCATCTTCAAACTGAAGCCCATCACCACCGCCAGGGACGAGGCCTTTGGGGATCCCCTGCCGATCAGACATGCTCATTAATGCCAGTAAATCCGACGCCACGGTTTGAGGCTGAGAAGCGGTATACGACAACTCGTTGTTACATCGTGTAGGACCTCGTTGTTGAGCATTCATCATTGCTGAAGCAGGTGTTAGGACCTCTGCGCTCACTTACGATTCCAGGCATCCGCTTAGAGAAGCTCAGGGTATATGCCAATGGCTACTCCTCAGGCTTTTTAAGCCATTCATTTTACGCGACCACACTAATCGCAAAGACGTGAGATCAATGATTCGATCAGATAGTTATATGATGCATAATCATTGGGTTTGAGGGACAAACTGGGATTACATGATGCTTACAAACCAATTTGAAACGTTATTTTCTGAGTAACATATTGCATGCTCTCTCCCACTGTCCAGCTTGATGTTTTCCATCATCTTTTCCTATTATTATTTTAATTCTTGCTTTTATGAATTTTACATTTATGTTTTCGCAACATGTTTGTGAGCAACCAGTGGTGAAAGCCTAGGCGTGATATGCACACTGGCATATCCGTGCCTTTCTGCCCACCCAAAGCGCTTCCCGCTTTGGGTGCGCCCGGTGTTATGGCCATTCCGGTGTTATGGCCAATTTTCTACCAGTAGCCTTCTACTAGCTAATTCAACCACCAACGATGCCTAAATCTATCAATTTTGATGAATCTCGCCTGGCCGAGGCCTGCCAAGTGGCCTTATCCAGCAAAAAACCGAATTTTTCTAAGATTGCGCGTGAATTCGGCGTGGCTCGCAAGACCTTGGCCAATCGCGTCGAAATAGCTAAATCGCCTACTACACCTACCAAATCGCTGAGAAACGCCCTAGAGCCATACCAGGAGAAAGCCTTGATTAGCTGGATAGTCTAAATGTATGGCTGGAATCTCCTACCTACCCCTACGGTAGTAGGTGCATAGGCAAATCGCGCACTGGCGCGAACAGATTAGCCAGATAGGCAGGTTGGTAAAAACTGGGCGTACGGCTTTATAAAGCGCCTACCAAAAAACCTTGGCCTAGGCCCTGTGAAGCAAAAGACCAAGGAACTGAAGCGAATCCAATCGGAAGATGCAGGCCTTCTTTAGCACTAGTACGACTAGCTAGAACGGGTCCTCCATAACGTCCCTACCCGGCTAGTATACAACTTCGATGAATGCGGGTTTCAACCCGGTCAAGGGCGATCACGAAACGTTATTAGTGCTAAATCATCTTGCCCTGACCTTGCTAAGACCGAGAAAGGCGAAAATATTACTGCATTAGAGTGTATTGCTACGGACGGCTGGCAGATAGACCCTCTCTTTATATTCAAGGGAACTAGCAAAAATCTTATAGAGGCCTAGTTCTACGGTAGCGAAACCCTCTTACTAGACACGATAACGGCTATTTCTCCTAATAGCTGGATTTCTGATAAATTAGCCCTAGCCTAGCTAGGCTATTTTATTCAATTAATAGCTTATCGTGTGAAACGGGGCGAAAAGCGCGTTCTTATATTCGATAGCTATAGCGCGCATCTTACACTCGAATTTCTTTAACTTTGCGAGGATAATACGATTATCCCTTTTGTATTCGTACCGCATTCAACCTATCTTTGCTAGCTACTTGACAGAAAGCCCTTCTTGAATTATAAGCAGCAATTTCGCTTAATAAATAATAAACTAGCTTTCTAGGGTGGCTAGCTATATAGGAAATCAGATTTCCTCGCGATTATCGGGCTAATTCGCAAGAAGGCGTTTACGCAGCGAATTATCCGCGAATCCTTTAGTGATCGCGGAATCTATCTAGTTGATAGTACTAAGGTTATTGACGATCTTGCTAAAGAACTAGTGATTCCTGATCTATACGCACTAGATCTTCGCTTATAGGGCTCGCATACACTATCACCACTACTACCTAATCTCTCGTCTTCTAGTATTAAAAATAGCCCTCCAAAATCTATTGAAGCACTACATAAGAACCAGGCGAAGATTACTAAACACCTCGAGGATCTATCAGATAAGATGCAGCGAAATCTATCGAGGTTGATAGCGCACCAGCGGGAGATAGCGGAGGAGCTTTCGATGACGCGGGATATAATTCAGCGTATTAGGGCCGCGCAGGCCCTAGTGCGTCGAAAATACACCAAGCGACAGGTTAACCACTTAGCCAGACTGGTATATTAACTACACGCGATGCGAATCGATCGATTGATACTAGGAAGAAGGAGGAATTAGCCAAGCAGGAAAGGAAGCTAGCCAAGCAGTTCAAGAAGATTTATGGCTACGAGCCCACACAGCGATCGGAGGAATCTATCCAGCGGGCAATTGCTAATGAGGAAGCGGCTAGACGGGCGGGAGAGCTTTTTTTATTGATAATTAGCTAGTTGGGTGGTAAATTTGACGATTTCTATGAAAATTGGCCATAACACCGGAATGGCCATAACACCGGGCGCACCCAAACCGGGAAGCGGTTTGGATGGGCAGTAAGGCACGGATACTTTATGAATATCAATACACCCGATGACTTGGTACCCCTACCCCAAAGGCCAATAGGGGCATGGATAAATCAAGCGGCCCCTGTCTTTTGTATGGAATTATGGATCAGGGAACACCTTCTTTATCGAAACTTCTCACTAAATTTTATATCTCGAATTCTACGCCTAATTGTGTGATGTCCCGGCCGTATCTGCTAGATGTGACGCCGGATGGCGAAAACCTAACTCGCCATCAAAATCACGACCGAGGTTTATTCCCCGTAACTGCCTCTTTTCCTAGATCAATTGCTCTGACAGTGGATTTTTGGAATCAAGAGTACACACTGTAAAATCAACTAAAGTTGACCATTATTAACCTACGACAGCTGATCTAACTGGGGGTCCTGAAAGTGACCAAAAGTGGTCAGACCAGTCATCTGCCCCACTGCTCCTCCTTATGCTAAAGCAGAAACCCAGTCTAACCTTCCCGAAGTATGTGGACCATATGGCTCCCGTCTCTCTCTCCCTCCTCCTGCGAGAGACGCCGAACTGGATAACTAGAATCACGCATGCAACTACGGCAATACAGGAGGTGGAAGCGCCGTGGGACGTTATCGGGTGAAATCTGTCCTAGAGGATGAATTATTTTGCGGCTCAATCTGACGCTCCTTTGTGGTACAGTTTTGGCTCGTTTCTGCTGTCCTGTACATTATTATCGTTTAATGCGCAAACGGGAAGTGAGCGATTTTGGGGAAAAGTGAGCAATACCGAGGTGAAGCATCGTAGGAACAGAATACGATATCACCGGAGCTAATTTATTATCACGACGAAAGTATCTTTGCAAGGAAAATACATAAATTTTGGAGCAAATGAGATCCAGGACAAATAAGATATCGCTTGCCGAAGGCATCAGGGCACCTTCACAAGTTAGGCTTGACCAGGCCGGCTTCAATCTCTCTCTTCGCCTCTTCTCTGAGTACTCGTTTGAGAATCTTCCCACTGGGGTTTTTCGGAATAGTCTCAACAAATTTCACACCCCCAGTCAGTGCCTTGTACCGAGCAAGTCGCCCTAAGACATATTTCTGGACATCTGTTTCCGTAAGTTCTTGTCCTTTGTTCCCCGGTCGCCTTACCACATAAGCACGAGGGAATTCTGTATTTGCTCCAAGGGTTGTAAACCCAATAACGGCTGCGTCGATAATTTGTGGGTGGGATAGAAGCACGGCCTCCAGCTCAGGGGGCGCCACTTGGAAGCCACGTACTTTTATCAGCTCCTTATTTCGATCCACAATATACCATTTCCGTGTTGCCTGGTCACAGTAGGCTATGTCGCCAGTTTTGAACCATCCATCTAGATCGAATGATTGCAAATTGGCTTCGGGGTTCTTGAAATATCCAGGGGTTACGGTTGGTCCTCGCACACACAGCTCTCCAAGGACACCGTACGCTGAAATATTGCTTCCATTCTCATCGATGAGCCTGGAGAGATGATCATGTCAGTGGCTTCTCATACCATCCAGGTGTTCACATAAGTTGCCGTGGGAAACCCTACTTAGCTTCCAGGTTCGGGATCAGCCGTCCAACGGATCCAGTATCATCGCGCTCAGGAAATCGAAACATTGTCGCTACACATGATGTCTCTGTCATTCCCCAAACCTGGTTGAATGGACTGTCATCGCCTATCAGCGAGCGGAAGCGAGCTTGAACATCCTTGTCCAGAGGTGCAGCGCCACAAGATGCAAGGCGAACTTTCCTAAGGAAAGGCCGCTTATGAGAAACCGAGGACATTAGAATCGAGATAACGATAGGAGGAACCATGGCCAGATCTGTAACGTTGTATGTCTCAATAGTGGTCAGATACTCTTCCAGATCAAACCGGCGCATCATGTAGGACACAGATCCCGCCTTCAGTATAGATATATGCGTGACAGGGGCTGCCGATGCATGGAATACTGGGAGGGCAATGATTCGCGATATCTAAAAAGTAAATAATAAGCTATAGCGCTCTTGGTAGAGTTCATCCTATTTGGTATATGGGAAGACGTTGAAGTCGGACGGAGTGGACTGACGGGATAGGGGCGCGGATCGCCTCCGACAACAAGTTCATGTTGCGCGATAAGATTATAGTGAGTAATCATTACTGCCTTGGGGAGGCCAGTAGTTCCACTACTAAAGAGTCTTGCAGCTGTAGTGGTTTGAGCTGTCGTCAAGTTCTCAAACCGTACCCAGTCTTCTTCCCCGAATTTGAGCAACTCCTTCCAGGACTTCGTCCCCCCTGGAATAGATTGACCAAGGTTGTCGAATATCCAAACATTTTTTTTTGGAACACCTGATTGATTGGCTGCCTCCAAGAGGGGCTTCAGAATTTCTGGTTCTGATATGATGAATTTGCTTTCAGAAGCTTTGATGTGGTGTTTAAGCTCCGTTGACGTGTACGCCGGGTTCGAGCCCGTATATATTCCACCAGCGCCAATAATAGCAAGGACGAGTATGCTGTAGTTGATCTTAATTCCCAGAGATGTCAGTATACTTGTATCCATTTCCCCCTAAACTCGTGAAATCTGGCGCACATACATCGTTGAATGAATGAATGAGAACACAATCCCCTGGACGAAGTCCAGAAGCTCTGAACCCCGCAATGAGCTGGCGAATTGACTTGCGTGCTTGGTTACATGATATCGAAAGTTTAGTATCTCTCACGTCGATATAGATCTAAATGGTTTAAAGGAGATCAGTTTGGGCGCAACCAAGTTAGGTATTCTCGGGTGAGTCTTACTGGCTTATCCTGGTCGTATGGCGGGTCATCAAATATGTAAGAAAGAAGATCCTTGGTAGGGAGCAAAAGGCTCTCCTCTGGTTCAAAAATCATATTTGTTGCTCAATGGATGCTTCTGCGAGACACGGGGTTGTCAAGTAAGGATGGAAGGGATACTGTCTGAAATGCAGGCTGGCGACAACAAGTTAAACAATATTCGTGGGGACGGTTGAAAGGGAAGGCTCTAAGCTTATACTCGTGCGATATAACATGAAGTTGCGCAGCCCCTCTTTTCGTCTACTCGGAACTCAGATGGAGTGCTAGTAACAACCTGAACAAGCGGGATCAGCCACACGAAACGGTCTTACCACACGCATACTCAAATTGTGCGATTCCGAATAAATTTGTGCAGGGACATAGAACATGCTGTATTTTAAAAAACGCTCATAATACAGTATGTTGCAAATCCGAGTCAAGAATAGGGAGGATCCCTGGGAAATCGGCCCTTTCCAATGCATTTGGCCGCCACGCTGTTACGAAGCCGATATTACTGGCCAATTTTCTTAGTTTAATGTTTCTCTCTGTGACGATGGGCCGCCAGTGCGGTGCAGATAGCCCTTTCGCACTCGGCACAACATCCATATGACTGGCGGGCAAACTTCCCCGCCTATGAAGCTTCTATCAGCGCTCGCCCCTCTTCCTGCTGAAACAGAATGACGTCTTGGTTCTAATTTGTGGCGGCTTAATTACGACGGATTAATTGCGAGAAGGCCTTGTCAAAACCCACCCACGACGGGTTCCAGCTCACACGTACCCAAAAAAGTTCACGCGGACCCAAAAATTTTCTGACTAATTTTGGGTACCCATGAGGTACCCGACCTCATACGTACCCAAAATATTTTGGGTCCCGATAAGTTATTATGCTTACTTTTATGTATTTTATACAGGGTTCAACCTTAGTTGAACCCCTAAAATATACTATATCTTTATACAACTCGATACAACTCTGTATACTATATTATATGATAATTATAAAGGCTCTTTGAATTAATTATTTATAAACTTATAAAAGAAATAGCCTTGCTTTTTATAAATTACTAGGTTTGAAAGAAAGATATGGATTCTATAGGGTTCTAAGTTAAAAGTGTCAACAAAGAAATAAGAGATATATCTTTAACAACAACGCAACACTACCACTCTCCTCTTCTTCCCTCACCACCCACTGTGTTTACTCAAGGTCAGAATATCTATTTACTCTACTCCCCGACGCGTTTCTCTATATGTTTTGTATATACTGAATACTTCCAGCTTATTAATATATCGAATCTTGGACTCTTCCCTGGCCTAGGTCTAACCCGGGCTGAATTTGACAATACCACGGTCTTAAACGCGATGTTACGAACCTCGAGGCGCGGGAGGGCCGCAGCTAGTTGAGGAGCAACCGGGACCCAATCGATCTCCGGACGCTTGCATTAGCGCCGTCACGTGCGACTCCCAATACCCAGGCACGCCCCCGAAGGCCATGGGTAAAACAGTTAGGCAGGGAGCCATAAATGGCCTGTACCTAACCGTGCCGTTATATACCCGCTTATACGATGGGACGGTTAGCACAACTCAGGAACAAGCCGCTACCGAACACGTGACACCAGGGTATACAGTTGGGTATACCGCCAGGACTACGAGAACAGGTAGTCTAGTATACCACACCCCACACCCAACTGTAGACCACACCACGAGGGACTGGATATATAAGGACACTCATTCAGCATCATGTATTTAGTTCTTCGCGATCAATTGCACATTGTTACTTGGTTACTACCTTTAGTACTTTACTTCACAGTTCACCTTCAAGACAACCTAACCTACAAGTAAGGGATTCACTCAGTGGTAACACTTAGTGATTGACTTACTTGGCGCGCACTTCTAGCACGTTCTGCAAGAATACTCAACAGGATCTATCCCGCAGTAAGGCTTTGCGAAGTAACGGTACGATTAAGAGATACTCTTGGAATCCGCAGTAGGACTAGGCAAGTACAACCCCTCGAAGCTCTACTCACAGTGACCAGTCGGCTACGCGTAACACGCGACTAACCCCGATACTCTCCTGGGATATATATATAGTATGTTTCCTAGAGGTATATACTATTAATATACTAACTATATATAGGGCCTATTCTAGATAATAATCGGGGCTAGAAGCTAGCTACGTATACGGTAGCTCTAGCTACAGGCGTACGCTACTACGATATTAAAGTAGCTAATATCGCGGCGACTCCGCCTCTAAATCCGGCTATAGTTCTCAACAAAGAGAATACAGGAGTGTACGTGGTATCTAAATATACTAAGTGTATAGCTATCGTATACTAATACTAAGAGGAATAGCTATAATATTATCGTTAACCCTCTATCCTAGATATACGGTCTAGTCTTCTCGGAGGGACCTGTACTGCGTCGTTATATCCGTAATAAGTATTCCGGAGCTAGCAAGTGTCTATTTATTAGATATATTAAATATATACTAATAATATAACTACGATATAGTCGTTAACCCTAACTGCCGAGCTAAGACCTAGTTTAAGATTATTGCGGGCTAAAACGTAATCAAGCGTTGGGTCCTAGAGGGTGGCTAGCGGGATACTAGCTACCTTTATAAGCCTAGACGCGGCCCTAATAATAGGTAGATTAGATACTAGGCCTCCGTATTAGAGCGTATTACGTAAGTGCTCTAGGTACTTTATATTCTATATAAGATTAATATACTTTAAATATATAACTCTTATATGTTTAACGTATACTAATAATCTGTATAGAGCTACTAATATATAGTTCGCCGTATAATACGGTACTTGTTTCTACTATTAGTAGGCCCCGGTAACCCCGTCCTCCGGTTACTATAGCCGCCGGGTAAGTCTATATTATATATATACAAATAATATATTAAGTATATGCTAATGGTATATAGCGCGGCCCTTTAGTCTCTAGTAATCCGATCCTCTTCGCGGGCTTTAGCCCTGCTACTACTAATAGAGGTAATAGTAATAGAGGAGGTAGTCTACCTAGTCCCTATATGCTAGACCCGGATAAGGATAGGGATAAAGAGGAGGATGAGTAGGAAGATAATAAGGACGATAATAAGGAGGAGAATAAGGATAAGGAGGAGGTAGAGGTAGAGGACTTATCCTCTAATACTTTTGAGTCCCCTAAGTAGTTAGGCGTAGTTCTCTTTGTATAAATTTTCTGTTATTTATCTATATAGAATATATATAAACTAGATACTAAAAGTAGATTTAATATATATTAAACTTATGTTAAAAGTAAATTCAAGCAAGATATTCTTAATTTATACTAAAGATTTACGTAACTCTATACTCCGTAATAATTCTTCCTTCTTCCTTCGAAGGGCTAAGATCCTTTACTTTCTCTCAAATTCCGTAACTTCTTACTATAGCCGTGCCTCTTTATTATCGAATCCCTAAGTATAGCCTAACTGCTAAGAAATACTATTATACGGCGCTATTCTAGACGATCCGTCAAAAACTGAACTACCCTAAGGGGTAGATAGCGGTGCAGATATAGATTGACTATATACTAAGCTTATATTAGTTATCTCCGAAGTAGATATCGAAAGTATATCCGAAATATATAGAAGCCTAGGTAGTTATATCGTCGGGCTAAGGTTATCGTAAGGATTAATCACGTTCTAGGGCTAGTATAGTTTATTGATACGACGGTTAGCAGATTTTTTGTGGCGCTTGTCTAATATAAGGTTAGTATATATTATATATATGTTGAATATATAGACAAACCCTTCTTGCGAACTTGTTTGGTAATACGATATATAGGGTTGTGAGATCGCTAAGTTAGAAAGAGACCTAGCTCTTCTGTAAGTTTATTCTTTTAGATTATCTCTTATATGTGTTTTTTGTATCTATAATAAAGAGATTAGTGATATGCTCTATATATAATAAATCGGGTAATATACTGTAGAATTGCTGTTAACAAAGCTTGCTTTCGGCCTACTACCTCTATAAGTAAGCGATGCTGCGCAGGTTAGGTAGAGAGGAAGTAAGATTAATTGATCTTCTTCCTTTAATTAAATAGGAAGGATAAAATCAATTCGGCTTAGAATTATAAAGATGAAATAAGATAAAGTAAGGTAGGACTGAAGCTTGGTTGATTGTATTGAATCTTACTTGAAAATGTGTCTTAAACATAATTGTTATCTTGGTAGAGAAAGCAGGGCATATTTATAATTAACTTGTCTCTTGTATATGATCGTTCTAGATAATGCATGATGATCTTATATAGATAGATCTAGATGCATAGTGATCTTATACAGTAGCTGTTTGATCGGTGGTTGCTTAATTATACGATGTTATTGACTGTAGTGATGATATAGATCGTGTTATTGACCGTAGTGATGATAGTATAGCATAAAGCTTATAGAGATTTAGCTATCTTGTATAGGCCTTATGAATCTGGCTTGATATGCTGTATGACGGTTTAGGTATCTTGCCCTATATCTCACACCGAATATCTTATACCCCCCCGTAATCTTTATACTATAGTACAGATAGTAGTAGAGTATAGAGATTAGTATAGAGTAGATAGGATCGATATATATATATACTGCTATAAGATAGCTAGATATATATCTTCCTAAATCTCGATCTCTTGGAGGTTAGCTAGATTCTTTAGGTCTTCAAATATTTCTCTTCTAACGTTTTTTATTAGGAAATCTGCTAATTACAGTTTAGTAGGGACGTATTAAACATCGACCCTTTCTTGTTTGACCTGATCTCTAATATAGTGATATTGTATATTAATATGCTTCGTCCTTTTGTGAAATTCAGGGTTTTCGGCTAGCTTAATAGCTACCTTATTATCCACTAATATAGTAGGCTTGCTAGGCGTATAGCCTAGGCCTAATCTATCGTTTAGATAGTTAAACAGGTTAGCTAGATAGATAGCTTCCCGTATAGCTTCTTTTATAGCTATATATTCGGCCTCGCAGGTAGATAGAGCTACTGATTTTTATAGCATCGAATTCTAGCTCACTATATTATTAGTAGCTAGATCTCTAGATAGGCTAAATATATAGCTAGTAGTAGATT